TGCCTCCTGTTTTCCATCAGGTGCACCCACAAAGATCAGATGGTAGGAGTTGTCTTTCAGTTCAGCTACTGCTTTAGCAGCGATATCGTACCCTTTCAGACCGAAGTCCTCAGGGTCACCACGACCAAAGGTCAACACCCTAAACTTTTCAGAGTCAATTGAGGCATGATTTAGAGTTGAAAACTCCTTGAAAGTGCCAGGAGTGAGCGACATGATATCCTGCTGCCTCTCACATGATTGAAGATAGGCAGAGTAGGCCTCCGTCAACTTGGGTCCTACCGCTACAACTAGATTTGCCAATTTACACAAATCTACTTCGGCTGTAGTCTTCTCTTCTCCTCTGGCAATGGCTCTCGGATAGTTTTTGAACATTCCGAGCTCTTCAGGCGCAGTATGTACTACTTGTACCCATTGGCAACTATGGGACTCCCTAATGATTTGGGCTTGCCTACCTAACTTGGCTCCATGACCCAGGACCACGTCAATTACCAGGTCTTTCGGAGGGAAGCTCAACCAGTCAAGAGCGTCGAAACCAGGACGTCTCTCGGCTTCTTTGATGATAATCTTGTGACTTTCTGCATCTCTCTTCTCTTCTTCAGAACAAGCAAATTGTGGGACCAAGAGAGTGACTTCTACCTCATTACGTTTGGCCATAAGGATGGCAAGGTGTCTGTTGATGGTGGACAGACCCCCCATTGATGAATTCCACTCACTGGCCAGAAGAGCAACTTTCAAAGTTTTGTCGCACTCTGCTGGGTGACCACGTAATGGAACGACTTGTGAGGTTCTTCTTACTGACGGAGCCAAGTCCTTTTGGATGATGACATGAAAACATTATTAAGGAAAAGCATGTCATTTTCCAAATAAGGTATATAAACAGTTTTAGCAAAAAATATATATATTTCTGTTCGAGAAAAATGTTCTTCTCGTTTCCCATTAATAAATTATAAACCAGACGGAAGGAAACGAACTGGTTGAACGCGTTCATACATCTCTTGAATCACCCAAAAAGTTAATAACGCAATTGCAAAACATACAACCTTATACAGTATTTCCATTGCTAAATTGCTTTAAGATCTAGACGAAGTTGTTATCACCTCAAATCAAAGATCCCTCAATGACATCATCATATCTCAGTCTGAAAAAAGATTTTCTAAATTGGGTACTTCGATTCATACGATTGGCATCGCACAATGAGATTACATCACAGCTATCAAAGCTCTTCCTGATTGGTTTCCGTTACTACTTATGAAGACATACCAAGAATGCTTCATACCTGGTTCAATAACCATCTCTCTTGTCCAGGAACTGTAAGTACTTCATTAGACATGCTTTCCATACAGATCAAATCCTGACCTTGTCTCAATTCAAGCAGGTGTATGCATTCTTCTTCTGTACAGGACAATTGGTTGTGGTTTGTGCACTTGCGACCTCCTTGCTGACAGTAGGGGCATTCAACACAAAATTCATGCTGCATTCTGCTCAAGTATGGAAACTCCCGTGACATCTTTTCTAAAATGCTCTCTATAAACAATCGCACACTTCTAGCTACCTCTGCCAAAGTTGAATTAGACACTGGAAGTGCTCCCGTCTTAATTCTTTGTCTCAAGAGGATTTTTATGAACTTCTTTTTTCAAATCATAATCATATCATGTATGACGCGTCCTTCAAGAACGAACCATGCACCATTCTGGTAGAGTTTTGGAGGCTGTGACAATCCACTTGCACCACACCAAGCAACCGATTTCGAAACAAGACGAGTAAAAAGACCATGCGGGACAAAGCCTTCTAGGAAATGAAGATACAAAGGACAAGGATCTGTAGATGACGGCTCCACTTTACAAAGCTCTTCAGGCGAAGACCTCAGTTGACATGGTACAAAGTACTGAACGTCAGCCAGAGATGGTGAGTATTTGGCAATCAAACCAAACTGCTCCATCATATCCAAGATGTCTCCCTTGTTGACGCCTTGCTGAATAAGGGGTGAGAAAACATGATCAACAAGCTCCATCTTAAGCACACCACTTCTCTCGAGCTCAAGCCAGTACTTGGAGTGCACAGGATCCTGAAACAACCAATTCCCTTTTTAAAATAAGATCAATCTAACAGTTTTCCTTTAAAAATACCCTATTTATTTTGCAGTGGACTAAAACATTTCCTTATTCCCCATAACTAAGGGTACAATGAGTGACAAAAGTACTTGGTACGCCTCCCCTTAGTAAATGGACAAGCTACGTCCACGTACTCAACATAATAGGAAAAGTTGCAATTCATCCCTAATTAGTTATTTTAATGTCCCCCTTACCTCCCCACCCCCAAATAATGTCACATTATAGTAAGGACTATTTTTTTTTTAACTAGGCAGTATTGGAATGGAGGAGAGGGGGAGACACATGAACGATATAGAGAAAACTTAAAATGTTTTATAGAGTGCCAATAACATAAAAAATACAAGGGAACCAACAAACAGACAATCGAATTAACTTTTTTTCGTAAAGCGCAAGTGGGAGGAAGGTAACAAGTCCTGCCATCTGTAATCATCTCGATGCATAGTAGATTATCTTATCCTACCGCTTTTTTGAATGCTGGGATGGTTATAAGCTTCTTGAATAGATCGATTAACCACTGCGCCTTCAGAATGACTGTACTGCGGTGTTTCACAATCATTCCTAAGTCGTGATAGAAATTCAACATGGTGTGAAACTGTCCATCGTCTTCTATGAAACACACATCCTTGGCATAGGTTTGAAGATGGACAGTATTCGTGTGGTATACATTGTCAGCTACCAAAGCTTCAATGACCTTTTCGAAGTTAAACCATCTAGAAATAAAAAAAAATTGTAATCAGTCCTAACTTACAAAAAGGTATACATAAATCGTGGCGGAAGCATAGAATGGTAGAATGAAGTAAGCAGCGAATTCGGCCTGTATGTAGCGCACATGTAGCGAAATTGAACGTAGCGAACCCGAACAGAAGCGAAACCTACGTTTCAGTACAGCAGTTGTTAAAAAAAAATGAGCTGAACATCTCTTGCGCTTATATCATTATACACCATACTTCACCTCACTGGTATCTTCTCTCCCATGTAAGGTTCCTTTCGAAGTACTTCCAGGATTCTCGCTCGAAGAGCATGAATTCCATCAGCACTAGCGCCATCATTGTCTTCTTCTTGACCTTTCAATTATAAATTATGTGAAACAATTAGTGCTGTTGAGAGAAGCCAGGGAGGGGCAGAGATTTCTCCTTGGACTTTCGATAGGAATTTGATGCCAACTTAGACCATGATCCCCAGTTTCGTACTCGGAAAGGTCTATTTCTGCCGCAGAACTCTAAATCTCTTCCTTGCAAAGTATTATAACTTTCACTAGTTGAAGATAATTTGGTCAGCAAAAACATTCGCTATGGTATTTACATATGCAGTCCAGGTTAATACAAGAAAAAAGGAAAGGAAAATAGAGAAAATTACATACAAAAAAATCCCAGAATAACCGGAGCACTAACAAGGTGCCAACATCATAAAGAGTTAAATATCCAGATTAGGACAAAAGAATAAGAATAGGGAATAAGGAATAAGATGTGAAAAAGCAACCGATAAATCTTTAGTGAATTCAATCAACTTTATCTAACGATGAGTTTGTCTGTTCGCGATAGAAATCACAATAAACCCAACTTCATGAACACATCATGTTGAACCCAATCACATGATTTACCTGCTTGAGGATTTCTTTGAAATTCAAAGAAATTCCAGAATTTCCGTGCGAATGATTTGTCTCCTTGAGTGTTATCAAT